ACAGCCTTTCGTGTCAGCACTAACACTAAACCAATGTCGTCTGAGGTGATTTTATCTCTTGAGCGAGGCAATAATTGCAAATTTTTTGTTCTTCTGTAGCAAAAAACGCCTTCTGTTTTTTCTTGAATATGCTTATCAAATTTATTAACCATAATCGTTGTTTGTTTCATGCAGGCTGACCAGTTAATTTATTTAGTGTACTGCTCTTTAAGTAGTATATCTCAGCTCCTGAACGTATTTTGTACCTTGAGGTTGGTTATTCTGGATACTACAATTAACTGAAGGCAGTATTGCAATAAGGTGCACCAACCATATTGTTTATTATGAGAAAAAGAATGGAGAGAAAGAAACAGTCTTTCTTGTTACTGGGACTTTCTGCATGAGAGTGGTTAGGAGTTTGGATATTGATTCTTTATACTTGTTATCATGGACTGCAACAAAGAGGAAGCTATTAGAGCAAAAGCTCTGGCTGAAAGAAAATTGCTGGAGAAGGATTTTGTTGGTGCAAAAAAATTGATCATCAAAGCACAACAACTCTTCTCAGAGATTGACAATATTTCACAAATGTTAACTGTCTGTGACGTTCATTGTGCTGCTGGAACAAAGGTTAATGGAGAGCTTGACTGGTATGGGATACTTCAGGTACCTGCTTTCACGAATGATGACACACTAATAAAGAAGCAATACCGTAAGCTTGCGCTTTTGCTGCATCCCGACAAGAACAAGTTTGCAGGTGCAGAGTCAGCATTTAAATTAGTGGGAGAAGCAAACATGACGCTTACAGACAGCTCAAAACGTTCTGCCTATGACATGAAAAGGAGAGTCTCAGTCAGAGTTGGTGCAGCAAGACCATCCCCTTATCAGCAGTCAAGGAGAGCTGCTCCTGTTAGACCTGTGAATCTTCATCAGCCCTCAAATTCTGCAGGGACACAACAAACATTCTGGACCATGTGTTCAAGTTGTGGCATGAGATATCAGTACTACACTGCAATGTTGAAGAAAGCTATCCGTTGTCAGAGTTGTTTGAAGCCTTTTATTGCACATGATATAAATGAGCAAGCTGTTCCTTCTGGGGCAGATCGACAGTATGCTGGGGTAAAAAATGCAGGGGCACCACAGAATTTTGCAGGCCGGCAGACAAATGCCCCAGGTCAACAGGCTTGGAATAATGCCACTCCAGGGGTTCATGCTAATTATGGATCTCATAAGGCAGCTGCAAATACAAACAAAAAGAAGGGGGAAGATGGTAATAGCGCTAGTGCTGCAGGTGTACCAAATGAGAAAGCAAAATTTGCTCGGACTTCAAAAGGTTCATCAGCTGCAGGATTGAAAAGGGGCAGGAGAGCCGTGTCTGAATCTAGTGATTCAGAGACCACCACTGATAGTGAAGAAGAGATCACTGTAGATGGTGCTGCTGCAAATAATGCAAAGCCGAGTCAACACAGCCGCAGGTCAAGTAGGCAGAAGCAAGAAGTTAAGTATAAGGAAGAGAGTGAAGATGAGGATATTGGTGATGATGGTAATGATGACGACGATAATAATGTCAGTTCTTCCAATTTCAAAAGGTTAAGGAAAGGTGGTGTGTTGCATGGTGATGATCAAAGCAGCACACCAAAGTTTGATGAAGACAAAACTGGGCATAATGGTCACACAAATGGTCTTAATCACGAGAAAGAAGAAACATCCAATTCTGTCAGCAGCAATGGTCTAGACCCAAACCTTGATGATGCTTCAGATGAGGAAAAATTTAGCTGCGCAGATCCTGAATTTTTTAACTTCGACGAACTTCGAGATGTAAGTCAGTTTAGACCCAACCAGATCTGGGCTGTCTATGATAGTCATGGCTGCATGCCAAGATTTTATGCTCGAATTACAAAGGTAAAAATGGCCCCAAAGTTTATAGTACACTTTGTTTGGCTGGAATTGGATCCCACAAATGAAGCAGAGCTGGCATGGTCACGTGCAGAACTGCCTGTTGCTTGTGGACATTTTAAGCATGGAACATCAGACACAGCTAAAGAAGCTAATATGTTCTCCCAAACTATTTCCTGTGCGAAAAGCAAGACAAAAAACTCGTATGAGATATATCCTAGGAAAGATGAAGTTTGGGCCCTGCACAAGGGATGGGACATCGGCTGGAGTTCGGATGCTGACAGCCACACAGATTTTGAGTATGAACTTGTTCAAGTTGTCTCGGATTTCACAACCGGCACTAGCATCATTGTCGTGCCACTTGTGAAAATAAAAGGTTTTGTTAGCTTATTTATGCAGTCGAAAGAGGCAACTCCATGTGTGATACCTCAGGATAACACACTAAGATTTTCTCATTGTGTCCCTCATCATTTCATGCGTGGGACTGAAAGAGAAGGCATTCCAGAAGGAGCTATTGAACTTGATCCTGCAGCGCTTCCCCTTAACTTGGAAGAGGCTTTTGCTTCTGTTGTTCTGGAAAGCACAGTAAAAGGCAAGGGGGTTGATACCAAGTATGCTGGTTCATCCAGTGGAATTAATTCTGGCAAGGGGTCTGAGAAGGTCGGGGAGGTGCCACATGCTACATGTATGAATACAGGGCTCTTTACAAGAGCAACAAAGGAAGAGAACAAAGAGCATCATACTCCATCTACTGTAGAAGGTGTGGATGTTAATGAGGATTCTGATGGCATTGTCCAGGATGAATTTGAATGTCCTGACTCAGAATTCTATGAATTTACAGAAATAAGGTCGATTCAGAAGTTCGAACCTGGGCAGATCTGGGCTCTCTATAGTGATATGGACAAGTTCCCCAATTACTATGCCATCATAAAGAAAGTCGATCTCAAGAATAATAAAGTACAAGTGAAATGGCTTGATCTCTGTCCTCGGGGAGAGGAGGAGAAAAGATTGACTGGTAAAGAGGATCGGACTCTTGCGTGTGGAATCTTTAAGGTTTCCTCTGGCAATGATGGTACTACGACTTACACTGGTACAGAGTCATTTTCTCATCCTGTGGTTGCTAGATCAACTGGTAGAAAAAACGAATATGAAATAATCCCTCGCTTCCGTGACATCTGGGCCGTTTACAAGAACTGGAGGGCTGGATGGACTGCAGAAGACTTTAAAAACTGTGAGTATGAATTTGTGGAGATTGTTGGCCAGACTGATTCGTCCATACAAGTTCAGCCTTTAGGAAAGGTGGATGGCTACAGGGCAGTATTTCGAAGAGGGGCAGATGTGAAAACAATAAGCAAGGATGAGTACCCAAAGTTCGCTCACCACGTCCCTTGCTTCCATCTGACAAATGAAAAAGCAGGCAAGCTTCGAGGCTGTTTCGAGCTCGATCCTTATTCAGTGCCAGAGGTGTTTCTCTACACCAGTTAAATGTGGGATGGCCTTATTTGCGGTGCATCTTTAGGAGCTGAAGTTGTGAGAACCAAGGTTCTATCGAAGTTGGGCAGTCTACGTCTCTAACATTGTTGCATTGGGCTTTTTGGCTGTTTCGAATACATCCATGAAGGTTTGAACTTGTCAGGCGAATGGGGGTCTTTTGCATCTATCAGCGACAGTTTGCAAGCGGATCAATCTTCCTGCAGCAGCTTTCTATAGCGTGTTAGCAGCTTAGTAGCATTTTGCTGTGTCTAGTCTCAAGTGTCACCCCTCTTTTCCTGCTCGTGTAATCGAAAATGTTGGAACCATGTAATTTAACCGCGCTAGGCTAATTTGATGGGATCTCGGTATCTTTGTTGCTGCAACTTTGAATTGAGGTGTTAGGGAAGTTTTGGCTCATCCATGATACACCCATCACAGGAGGTGATGAAGTGTAGCAGGTGTCATTTTGTTCCCGTTTCTTCTTTCTTTGATGGTGCTGGTTTCATTCCAGTCTTTAGCGCTGGTAACATGCAAGATGGGCATGCAGCATCCCATCACATTTTGTTCCTCCGTTGGTTGCAGGACTAGATTTTTGGTCCTTGCTTCTACGTATTGCATGTTTCAGCAGTGGAGATTCTTTTAAGATGGGTTTAGGGCAGTATCAGTTCCAGCCGCTACATTTGCTCTATGTGTTGGGATGCTTTGCTTGAGGTCTAGCGTTCCTTGCGTTTGGTTTGCTTCTCGTGTCCTTTAGCCCCCCGTGTTGTTGTTGTTGTTCCATCATGATGAGTTGAGTTTATTAAAGGCTTCTTTGGTTCAAAGGATTTTCAAAGTAATTTTGTAGGGTTACACTCCTTAGAAAATTTTCCTATGATGGCTGTTTCATTTATATGATTGAATTCCACATGATTTTTTTATAGGGATTCCTTGAAAATACATTTCATATTTTCTTATGGTGTCTGTTTGATTTATAGGATTGAATCCTACATGGTCTTTTTCCAAAGGATTCCATCATAATACATTTCATATAAAATTTTCTATCCTCCCAAACCTCTTGCAAAGGCGCACACTTTAGTGCACTAATTCGTGTCCAATTCAAGCACAGCTGCCTCATGTGAGTGCCTGGGCTAAGCTAGTGCATGGCGTGGTGAGGAGCAAGGGCGGCGGGGGGCATAGGCACCGCCCGCGGCTGTACCGAGGATGAGTGACGAGGTCGAGGGATTGGGAAGCATAGCACGATGATGCGGTGGGGAAGATGAACATGATTGATCCCGTGCGCCATGACAAGGGAGGAAGACGCTGATTGAAGAAAATTACAGGATTTTTTCTGCGAGGGGAAAGAAAATTACAGTTGACTAAAATGCCCTTTGCGGTTGGATTAGATTAATACTACACACTACAAGGAGTAGTATGATGTACCGTAAAATTACTCATTGATAAAGCCACGAGTTCCACAAACATCACACAGTACCGAATACAAAGCTTCAAACAGACACAACTGGAAATAGTTCGAGCAAGTAGGCCCAACGGAAAGTGAAAACCCACGAGGTCGGTACGGGTAGTTGACGAGCCACCCTCTGTAGACTTTTTTTTTAGATACTCTGTAGACTTCTTATTTTCTTTAAGGAACCCTCTGTAGATTTATGGTGCCTCATCTACAGAGCTGTGCCTGTGCCTAACGGTGGTGTGATTTTTTTTTTTAAATATTTTTGTTTGAGGATACCTAAAGGTGGTGTACTGTAAGATGGCTTCTCAGGTTTAGGCAAATTCAGCCTGTTATCGCTCAGCATCCAGACGACACGATTCATGGTGGGCCTACGTGCCGGATCCTCTTCAACACAGAGCAAAGCAATGTGGATGCACCTTCTCATCTCGTCAATCTGTGATTCTGATACTACATCACGTAACCCTGGATCGATACACTCGTCCAGCCTCTCACTTTTCCATAGCTTCCATACCTGCGAAAGGAGATTACACAGTTGTTATACCGTCGAATTCTTTGTACGTACCCCCTCCTTCCCATAATGTATGATGTTACTATAACCAAACATACAACATATAAGCCGGAGGGAGTATCTTATTTGAACTGGACTGGAAGATTATATTCTAGTATATGTATATCGATCTCAGAGAAAAGCTAAGTGTATATTGGTCCACAAAGACATGTATTTATTCCCGCAAAAAAAAAGACATGTATTTATTGGCATGTTTATTTATTTTTTCTTACCGACGCAGTTAGAGGGTTGTAACTCTCGTTCGCCTGATCGCAGCTCACTCCAGTAACGAGCTCAAGGAGGAGGACGCCATAGCTGTGCACGTCACTCTTGGCTGAGAAACAAAGAGAGTGAACATATTCTGGAGCCGCAAAACCCCTGAAAAGATGAGACACGTAAAATCAGAGCCATCTACTTCAGTTCACAAGAAAAAATATGCGATGACAATTTCAAAAAAAAAAAATATATGCGATGACATCTAAGGTTGCATACCAAGTAGCTGTTACTGAAGCAACTACTCCTTTGTCCTTCGATTCAGGTAACATCTGGGAGATGCTAAAATCATCAATCCTGGGATTAAACCCTTGATCCAAGAGGATATTGCTCGGCTTCAAATCAAGATGGATGATGCGCAGTCCGCAGTGATCGTGCAGATAAAGTACACCTTGGGCAATCCCTTGGATAATTTTGAAACACCTTGGCCAGGACAGCTTTTGGGTTTCAGGGCTTACGTTTAAACCCCTCTGAGTGGGGCGAGGGACCAATGCTCTCATACGGCCTGAAAAATGATCAATGATAAGATTTATCGTACGATGATAATCATGCGATTATCAATAAGTAGATGAGGAGAATAGAAGGAACATGCCATTCATGTAGTCCGATAAGCTTCGGTAGTGCGCGTGTACATAAACTTGCAAAAAGAGTCCTCCGGTACCAGTATAGCAACATCCCAGCAGTTTCACTATATTTTTATGCATAAGCTCTGCTGCGAAACGAACATCATTGTTACGTTGTTCTCTACAAGTACTGAACTGTTCGTCACTGTAGACTTTGATGGCAACTTGGCATTCATCGGGTAATTTACCCTGAAAAAATGTAAATTCAAAGTTCAAGCTTCTAATGATGATCGATTATGTTTCTGAATTGAATGTGCTACAGGCATGAATTATCTGCTCCTTGGTGCATATGCAAGATATAGGTAGGAAACATATATACTACTCCCTCCG